CTGCCTCAGCCTCCCGAGTAGCTGGGATTACAGGCATGTGCCAGCATACCCGGCTAATTTTGTATTTTCGGTAGAGATGGAGTTTCTCCATGTTGGTCAGGCTGGTCTGGGACTCCCGACCTCAGATGATCCACCCAGCTTCCCAAAGTGCTGGGAGTACAGGTATAAGCCACCGCGCCCAGTCCATGCTGTTCTTTTAAATAACATTGAGATGAACTTTTTTCTGATTTTCAAGCGCCTGAGACAGGACTCCGGGGCCCGTGAATCACTAATAACAACTGTTTCTTCTGTCCACAGAATCCAGGAGTCCTCCAGCCGAGAACGAGGTGTCCACCCCCACGCAGGTGAGCTCCTGTTCTTGTAAAAGGGTCAGGGCAGCAGCACCTAGTGGTTAGGAGTGTGGGCGGATGCCAGACTGAATTTGGTTTAAATCCCAGCTCTGTCACTTAGTAGAAATGTGGCTGTGGTGAGTTATCTGTGCTTTTCAAGACTCTGTGAAAGGGAATCATAAAAATTATCTTGTCCCAGGACTGTAAAGAGTGGAGCAGCATTGGCCTGGCACGCAGAACTGCCCTGCATCTAGCGGCAGCTATTTCATCTCTGAGCTTTTTGGACACTGCTAACGGCTTAGCTTGAGATTGGATTCTGTTCATCTGAGTCCTTCCCCTGTGGACTCCTGGTGTCATAACTTGCTGGAAAGAGGATTACCTCTGAAGCTGCTTAACAAATTCCAGGAGTAATCCAATTTCCTATCCAACTATATCTCCTCCTGTGGCCCTTAATTCCCTAAATGCTAAGCTGGGAGGCACAGCCACTTCTGGAGCTGTGCAGCACAGGGAAGGAGCCTGGGGCTCTTGAACCTTGTCTGTGTTCCATGTAGGAACAGCTGCAGGTGGAGCCCATACCCATGGGGCTAGAGTGCTCCCAACACAGGTTCTGGGGAAACTGACACCGACTGAGGACTGGCCTCATCCTGCTAAACTGTGAGCCTTGCATTTGCTATTTCATTGGCTCCTTATGTTAACGTTACAAGGGAGTGCTTGCAAGGGCTGTTTAACATGGGGTAAGAAGTCTGAGGCCAGGGCCAGGTGCCAGGGCTCACGCTTGTAATCCCAGCACTTTGGGAGGCCAAGGCGGGCAGATCATCTGAGGTGAGGAGTTCAAGACCAGCCTGACCAACATGGAGAAACCCTGTCTCTACTGAAAATATAAAATCAGCTGGGTGTGGTGGCACATGCCTGTAATCCCAGCTATTTGGGAGGCTGAGGCAGGAGAATTGCTTGAACCTTGGAGGCGGAGGGTGCAGTGAGCCAAGATCGCACCATTGTACTCCAGCCTGGGCAACAAGAACGAAACTCCATCTCAAAAAAAGAAAAAAAAAAAAAAAAAGAGAAGTATGAGGCCGGGCGCGGTGGCTTACTCCTGTAATCCCAGCACTTTGGGAGGCTGAGGCGGGTGGATCACCTGAGGTCAGGAGTTCCAGACCAGCCTGACCAACATGGTGAAACCCCGTCTGTACCAAAAACACAAAAATTAGCTGGGCGTGGTGGCGCGTGCATGTAATCCCAGCTATTCAGGAGGCTGAGGCTGGAGAATCACTTGAACACGGGAAGCATAGGTTGCAGTGAGCTGAGATTATGCCATTGCACTCCAGCTTGGGTGACGAGAATCTCTATTTCTTTTGTGAAACTCCATTTCACAAAAAAACAAAAAATAAAAAGAAATCTGTCCAAGGTGACATAGCTCGTAAGTGGTGGAGCCAGGATTCCAGTCACAGTGGTACCTGCACCCTTGCATCGGACCTGTAAGGACAACAGCTGCTTCAGTGTATCCACTGAGCATCTTCTCTGTGCAGGGTGCTGTGCCCTTCAGCTTTTGGTGGAGAGGCAGGTGCAAAGAAAGCCCCACCCTTAGCAGACACGGTGTGGATAGAAAAAATGCAAATAATAGTATTATTGATTTTTCCACTGTTACGAATGAAATGGAGAAAGGAATGCTTTGGGCGGATCAGGGAGGGCTCTGAGGAGGAGATACCTCCTGAACTGGTTCTGAATGGTGGTGAAATCTGCAGAAACAGGCTGATGGTGAGGAATGTCTCTTTTAGGCACCTACTACTAATAAAGATGACGATAATATTCTCTCCAGAGATTCTGCAAATGCGACAAGCCTCCCAGGTAAGGACTGGGTATTTTCATATTCATAGGGTCTGAGGGACAGATTTGTCTCTGCGGAAAGTCCTTTCTTATTTGAACAGGTCGTCAGAGGATCAATGGCAGAAAGGTTTTGTTTTTATTTTTGTTTTTGTTTTTGTTTTTGTTTTGAGACAGAGTCTTGCTCTGTTGCCTAGGCTGGAGTGCAGTGCGATCTCGGCTCACCACAACCTCCACTTCCCGCGTTCAAGCAATTCTCCTGCCTCAGCCTCTCGAGTAACTGGGATTACAGGGGCATGCCACCATGCCTGGCTAATGTTTGTATTTTTAGCAGAGATGGGGTTTCACCGTGTTGGCCAGACTGGTCTCGAACTCCTGACCTCGTGATCTGCCTGCCTCGGCCTCCCAAAGTGCTGAGATTACAGGCACGAGCCACCGTGCCTGGCCAGAAATATTCTTTTATTACTTTATATGTTGAAGTTTGATATTGTTAGCTAAGATATAATGAGGAGACTGTAAGAAAAATGGGATAAATCAGTGAGATATTTCACAATTGGCCCACAATACAAATGAATGTGCTGCAAACAAGATTACTGGAGTCTGAAATGGAATACCTGTTGAGGGAAATCTTTATTTTGGGAGCTCTTGATTTCAATGCTTCTGATTCCCTATCCCTGCAAGACCACGAAAACTTACCAGTATTTGAATCAAGAAAGATCACAAGTCCTGTGTTTGACTAGGTGTATGGGACTTATGGAATCCAGACTCCAGAGGTTCAGTAGTTGAGTGGCTCCAGCTGATGACTCTTGGGCTTTGTGAGGCAGTCCTTGCCCTCGTTCCCCATCCCTGGGTGGATTCCTGCCTGCACCTGATGCTGGCTGCTTCTGCTACAACAGCCCAGCTGCCAAGCCCTACCATGGTGCAGTGCACCTGTGGAAGACCTGCTAAATACCTGGGCCTGAGCTCTGCACAGCTGGGGACTCGGAGAGGATTAGAGCCATCCCTCTTCTCAAGGAGGCTACAGTCCAGGCCCCCACAAAGAGTAAACTGGTAACTGTGACAAAGACCAGAATGTGAGATGGGCGGAAAGGGAGGCACAGATAAAGCAAAGTGGAATTTAGAGATTTGAGAGAGTGCATCAAGCTGAGCAGTCACAGAAAGCTCATGGAGGAGGTGCCATTTGAAATAGGCTTTGAATGGCATGAGTGGGATGCAAGAGGTTGAGTGTTCAAAGGTTGCTATGGGCCGGGCGCAGTGGCTCACGCCTGTAATCCCCGCACTTTGGGAGGCCGAGGTGGGAGAATCACCTGAGATCAGGAGTTCAAGACTAGCCTGGTCAACATGGTGAAACCCCATGTCTACTAAAAAATACAAAAATTAGCCGAGCGTGATAGTGGGTGCCTATAATCCCAGCTACTTGGGAGGCTGAGGCAGGAGAATCGCTTGAACCCGGGAGGTGGAGGTTGCAGTGAGCCAAGATTGAGCCACTGCACTCTATCCTGGGCCACAGAGTGAGACTCCATGTCAGAAAAAACCAAAAGCAACAGCAACAACAAAAACAAAGGCTGCTGTGGAGGAGGGGACCCTCCAGTCCTCTCCGTCCACCCTCACTGATGATTTTTTTTTTTAACTTTTTTTAAAGATCAGCCCATGGATGGTCTTTAGT